TTGCTTCCCCCTGCAACACTCACGGCTCTGTACCGTTAAAAGAACATGTGTGCTAATTTGCTGTATTTGGGCTGTGAGTGCAGTGTCCATTCTGACAGATGTCTTTATTGTTCTAGCAACAGACCCTGAACGGTTATTTTACTCCACCATATTTTGTGAGAGGGATAACCTGTTCAGACACCCAGCTAGTGTGCAGAAGAGAGATATTTCTTACCTGATCTATCTCTGTGGAGTCTGGCTCACCCTCCTCTACACCTACTTCAAGATTTTCGTTGCTGCCAAAGCTGCTAATGCAGCAGATGGAAATATAAAAAAGGCCAGGAACACAGTCCTGCTTCATGGCTTCCAGCTATTGTTAAGTATGCTCACTTTTTTAGCCCACCTTCTAAAAACTGCTTTGGTGAGCTGGTTCCCGAGATATTATCTTCACGTACTCTATGTTTGCCACATCTTCATTCAGATTCTTCCCCGGTTTGTCAGTCCAATAGTGTATGGGCTAAGAGACAAGACATTTAAGCAGTACTTGAAAAAGTATCTGTGCTGTACCACAAAAAAAGAAATACAGTAGTGTTCAGTGAAGTTAACTGAAAGATGAGAGTGAACTCAAATTGTACTCTTTACTGTTTTATTTCATGATATAAAAGCTTTTTTTACTTTTTATACAGCTGAAAATGATCTCAAGTGATTTTCCATCAGTTGATCATGGGCTTAAAAGCTGATAAATATAGCAAAGGAGTGTCTAACACTGCCCTTCGATCTCTGTTCAGGTTGTGGATGTTTTCCTGCTTAATCAAACCAGATTAAAATCACTACACCATTTACAGAAGGAATTAAAGATTTTTTGAAGATATCTGTTCAATCCAAACAGATGTGTTGCAACAGGAAAACAATGCTGTTACATTGGCGATCTTAAACTCTGGTTTTTGACAGCCGCAGTCCTGAACGTTTTAGATGACTCTCATTTCCCTTCAGTGTAACCCAGACAGCAGGATGTTTGATGGTGAAGGTCTGCCAATATTAATGGCGGATCCACTTTTTATTTCTATCTTGTCAGTGACAGAAATAAATGTTCCATATTAATAAAAATACAAACTGTAAGATCTGGTGACAAACCTACTTTCTGATTTCTTGAGTTTTTTACATCGTCATTGTTTTTTTTCTTTCTACCAAAACTTCCTCTAATGTTGTTTAATGGGGAGTGAAACACCACACACTCTTGCATTCAATCCTCGGGGCAATTTAGAGTGTACATTTAACCTAACATGTACATTTTTGGACAGGGGGAGAAGGCCAGAATTCCCAGATGAAATCAATGCAGACTCTTGGAGAACATGCAAACTCTATACAGAGAGGTCCCCCCGGGATTCAAACCAGGAACCTTCATGCTTTGAGGCGATGGTGCTATATGCTACACCACCCTGCCGGCTTCATGTCATTGGGTCAAATCCCCCCGATCACCCCAATTGAAAATAAACAGTACTTTATAAAGAATCGGCTTTGTAACATGATCAAAGTAATACATTGTAAATCTGGACACGAAGGAAGATTTTTTTTTAAATATGGGTCTAAAAAGTGCTGAACAATATACTTTTGAAAACATTAGGATGGTGCGTGGTGGTGTGGTGGTTAGCACCATTGCCTCACGACAAGAGGGTTCTGGCTTTGAGTCCCTGGGAGAATCAGGGGATTTCTGTGTGGAGTTTGCA